TCGCGATTTTCCAGGCAAAAATTCATGATTATGTGGTTCTGAAAAAAACTAGTATTTAGTGGATTTTTAAGTTTGCGAAATTCTCCTCATCTAAACAAAAATTCGAATAGAAAAAATGTTTCGTCCCTATAAGTTCCAAAAAACTATAAAAAAATTACGATCATGCAGAATATAAGAATGTGGCATCGATGATTTGTCCAAGTCTTTTTGATCAAAATTATTCCGTAAAAGGTTATTTTTAGAAAAAAAACACATTAGGTTAGGGGCCCTAAAAGTGATTTAACCAAATATGCCTTAATTTGGATCGATTCAGATTTGTATACCTTTGGGAGCAATGTAGTTTCGCCTATAGCCTTTCTGTTCATCCTAAAGCGGTATGAAAAAGTGTCAAAGTAGTGCCTCTTATTAAATATTTAATATGGTCAAGGATTTTGGACATGTTATTGGAACATTTTATGAAATAAAGGCAGAAAACTAACTTCTAGAAAATCTGCAGACTTTTTTGAAACATCAAGGAATACAATTCCAGCGAAACTTCCACGAAATGCTATGAGGAAAATCGTAAAATGACTTCACTTAATATCATACTTATCACAAGACAGTCAGACAAAACCAAAAACAACACAACCAACCTCTGAAAAATCCACATTCTACATGCCTCTCCCATCTATGAAGAACTCCCAATAGAACCAAACTTCCTTCCTATGCACTTTAGACACCGTCGAAACTGCGCATCAAAATTGCAAATCAGCACCAAACAAAATCCATACACAAGGCACACAGGTGATATTATTGCCGTAGGAAAATCATCACAATACTATCGACGCTACGATCAGTCGAAAATAGAACTTTCTGACCTTTCGGTTGTCCTTAATAACTTCCATAGTCGATCTAGTAAGTTGAAACAAAATAGAAACTGACAGCTCACTGAGTTGGAATTCTGTTTGGAACATTTTAGGCGGGGTGGCAGACTGTTTGCAGATACTCGTACCAGACAAAGTGGACATTAGTCCAGTTAAAAATAACAAAAGAAGCACACTGACCTGATATTTCATGATAACATACATCCATACAAAGTCAGTAAAAATGTATTTTATGAATGCCAGCAGCAAAAATCATTTAAAATAATTTTCACAACTTGAAAAAGCGCGAATAGAAACTTGAAGTTTAAATGGAGCTTGACAATTTTTGACCTTTTCGTGATTATTAGAAGTGTTATATACTGGTACAGCTTCTGCGTTGGAGTGCTGATGAAGCCTTCGGGCCTCACCGCTGCTTTCTTGACTTCGTCGATAACCAGAGGAATATCCAGATTGCGATGAATATCCCTACCACGAACATGTCAAGACGCATTAACCATGTTGCTCAGACCTATTTTTTGGCATCTTTGAACCATTTCGATGATATTATTAGAACAACCATAGACTCACATGGGTTTTAAGATCTGATTATAGATCATAATTTTGTTATAGAGAATAAACAAGATTTGAAAAAAAAACGATAAAATGCAACCTCAACTTTCTTGGAGCTCTGCTGCTACCACATATTTTCCTTGCGCCCCAAAATGATCAATAAATGTATTAAAAAACAATGGTTAGAGGCGCTCTAATCATTTTGATTTTTACTCTCATTTTTTTACACTGAAGCAGTCGCCCAGGCAAATGCTATGAGAAACTTAAAAAACTTTGTTAATCAGATTTTTGAACGAGCTAAAGTTAGTAAAACTGTGAGAAGCCTCCTCATATGAATTATTTCACAATCTCGGTAGCCTAGCGACAAAGAAACGGTCGCATCGGCCAGTTTTGGGTGTATGAAGTTCGACACGGTTAGGATGGAAGGCCGAAGTCAGGCGGGTCTGTCTGGCAGGCACATCGCGCGGCGGCATCATGGAGAAGAACTCTGAGGAGCAAATCACGTTATCGTAGCGGTAGAAGGGAGCTAGCTCGCCAACGACCCACCGGTGCGTAAGTGTCTCGAAACTGTCCATTAGAGTAGAGTCATCAATCAGTCGGTAAGCGCTCTTCTGAACAGCATCGAGCATGGATAATGTAGTCATGACAGCATGTGAGACAAACATGTGAGCAGTACTCGAGGCTACGTCTCATCTAGGCCTTGTACAGAGTGAGCAGGTTATGTGGAAAAAAAATAGTAGTAGAAAGATTTATTTAGCAAATTTGGCTACATAAACAGATTAATTGTACACAACTTAGAATTAGTAAATTCAAGCCATATGATGTATGAGGTAAATGCAACCTATAATTGTAGATTTAACAAGTGATTCCTCAATTTTACTTTAAATTTTGTCAAAGTTTTCTGGTCATCTCTGTGTATAATTTATTATATTCAATCAAACGTTGTTGAAATACAGATTTGTAGCATATGGTATTATATAAATGATGGTCGACATTTGATGATGTTAACTTAGTTAGACTTGATGGAAATATACAGGGTGGGGCAAAAGTCACGAAGGGATTTGAAAAATTAATAACTTTTTTAAATTTATTTTGTTTTCATTTTTTTTTTCAGGACCGTGTAAAATAAATCCTGGAGATTAATTATGGAGCGTTACAACCTCAATCAACGAACCAAACTTATAGAATTTTATTTTGAATATCACCATTCAATAATTCAAACTCAACGAGCATATCGTCGTCATTTCAATTTGCGGAATTCGCCCTCTGAATCAATGATTCGACGCTTAGTGGCACGATTTCAGCAACAAGGCACAGTTATGGATCTCCCACGAAGCGGAAGGCCACGTTCCGCAAGAAATGAAGGGAACATTCAACGCGTTCAGGAGAGTGTTCAGGAGAATCCGGAAACCTCAACCCGAAGACGTTCTGCTGAGCTGCAGATGTCTCAAAGGTCTTTACGCAGAATATTAAGAGGAAATTTACATCTGTTTCCATATAAAGTGCAGCTAGTGCAAGAACTAAAACCAGCAGATTTTCAAGAACGACTAACTTATGCAGTTCGCTTGCAAAGAATGGCTCGAGAAGATAATGAATTTATTCATTCTCTGATCATGAGCGATGAAGCCCATTTTCATTTGAATGGCTTCGTAAATAAGCAGAACTGCAGAATATGGGGTACCGAGAACCCAAGGGTGGTTCATCAAAGGCAATTACATCCGCTTAAATGTACAGTATGGTGCGCAGTTACGTCTCAACGAATTATTGGACCATTCTTCTTCGAAGACCACGATGGGAATGCTGTATCTGTAGATGGCGACCGATATCGTGATATGATTCAAAATTTCTTAAGACCAGCTCTTGCTGACAATCAAACGATGACTTTCCAACAAGATGGAGCCACTGCGCATACTGCTCGAGCCACTATGCACCTTCTAAGGCAGATTTTTGGCGAACGTTTAATTTCGAGAAATTCAGGATTCAATTGGCCCGCCCGCTCGCCGGACTTAACAGCCCCTGATTATTTCCTTTGGGGATATCTGAAAGGAAAAGTGTATATTAATAAACCCACAACCCTGCAGCAACTAAAAGATAATATTCGAGCAGAAGTAAGTGCTTTGGGGCCAGATATTCTGACTCGGGTAATGGAAAATGCTCTTGCAAGAGCTGCACTTTGCGAGGCTGAAAATGGCGGTCATTTGCGTGATGTAATCTTTCACACTTAAATTGTAAACAAACTCCAAACATTGCATTTTAGTTTTGTGTTAGGGAAAAAAATTAAAATTAAAATTTAAAAAAGTTATTAATTTTTCAAATCCCTTCGCGACTTTTGCCCCACCCTGTATAATTGTTTACTTTATAAATGAATATCATTACAAGATATTTGATAAAAATGTTTTCATTGAAACATTTTGATTTGCTAAGCATTTGTCTAATTGGAATATATTTATCTTTATTCAGTATTATTCTCATGCACTTATTTTGTAAAATTTGCAGTCTTTCAAAAATGGAATTATTTGCTAAATATAGAATAGTCGAACAGTACAAGAAATTTGGAAGAATGATGGTATTATAGATAATTTTTCTGCTATATGAACTCAGACATCCAGAAACTCTTGATAAATATCCCACTTTACTACTAATCTTATTTATAACTTTTCCATAATGAATATCAAAAATTAATCGAGAGTCAACAAAAACCCCCAGGTATTTAAAATTTTCTATGAATTCAATATCTTCACCATCAATATTTAGTTGAACATTTGTACATTGTTTTTTTTTTCGATTAACATAGCTTCCGTTTCACGTGTACTTAATTTTAGTCTGTTAGACCATTTTGAAACAAGTTTCAAGTCTTCATTTATATAAGAGATACCAAGAATATTTTTAGTACTTATATAAATCATAGTGTCATCGGCGCAAATCTGAATTTTGCATGTTTTGACTATGGCAGGTGAATCATTTATGTATAAAATAAAGAGAAGTGGTCCCAGGATACTGAACTGTGGAACACCCAACGTATTTTCAATTTTTGATGAAATAGTGTCGTTAACTTTTGTAACCTTTTAGACGAATAATTTCTAAACCAATCTAAAACACTTCCTGGTATACCATATGCCTTCATTTTACCTAACAAAATATCTCTATCAATCGTTTCAAATGCCCTCTTCAAATCCAAAAATACTGCTATGACAACTTCTTCTGAGTCTATGGCTCTTCTCCAATTCTCAGTTACCAACTGGAAAGCAGTTTTTGTGGAATATTTTTTTCGACAGCCTTCTTACCTCTAAACAAATAGCCTAGCTTTTACCCAGCAGCTGTCGCTATAAACAAAATCAAGATCAAGTCCCTGGTGTTCTGGACTCCGACCAGCCGAAATGAACGGCTTGTTGGTAGATCTCGGCCATCCATCAAACCAAATGAGCGTCAGGATACAGATTTTCTTGAATATAGCAACCTACTGTAATCCCAAATCATAAGGCTATCTACTTTCATCAAAATCGCTGCAACGGTTCCTAACATTATGTGACATCAAAAAACTACGTACGGATTTTCATTTAAGCCGTAGGGAATTGATTTTTTTTTCAGATGGCTTTGATTCTGCGAATGGGTTGAAGCTGAAAAGAAATCGCCCTACTACTGAGAACTCGAGTTCCACTTCAGAGGAAGAAACTCCTCAACCGTACGGAGTGGTATGTTTGACAAGTAGTGGTTGCTCACAATTAGTTCCAGGTGATAAAATAATTTTCATGTGATAGTTCGTATTTTATATTTTACATTAATAAAACCTTTTTAAAAACTAAGTGTGCGTTCAGTTGGCATAAGCTTTTAAACAATTAAATGAAGCTTAGTGTGTGATTATGTTTAATGCACACACCCATAACCGTGTAAAAACTGCAGTTCCATATAAAGAGTGTTCATCTGAAAACTTCCCACCACGTGAGAAGATTTGTCAAGGGGGACAAATTTTTTACCAAAAACTACTTCACCCCCTCTCACTGTCGGCCCTCCTGGGTCATTCCCTTAAAAATTTTTAGTGACAAGGGATATCGAGAAAGACCTTTCAAAGTCCTTTATCTTGATGGTTAATTTTTTAAAATCAGTCGATCCGTTTTTGAGAAAATTAGAAAAATCTTTATTTGTTTAGATAGAAAACAAAAACACGCGAAAATATCACTTTTTATTTCAATAAGTGTCCAAATGTTATTGGCCAAGCAATGATATAGGCGATGTTCAAATTCCTGACGGACAGTTTCGTTTCGCGTGTTGTAGGATAACATGGCAGCTTTCGATGACGTTGACGAGGTTCATACAAACTTTCAGGTTGGGGAGTAAACAAAATAGATTTCAAATGGCCCCATAGAAAAAAGTCTAATGGCGTCAAATCGGGAGATTTAGCAGGCCATTCTATAGGCCCTATATTAAATACATTTCAGCCTCATCAAGTATAGGGTTATCATCCTCTTCGATGTGGTTCTCAACATATCCAAATAAATGACTCCATTCAAGTTTCCATTAATAAACAATGGCCCAATCACTTTGTTTCCTAAAATGCCTGCCCATACATCAATTTTTTTGAGGTACTAGGTATACCCTTCTACAAAAGCATGAGGGCTTGTTCCAATACCTGCAGTTATGCTTATTAACAGATCCATTTAGATAAAATGTGCGTTCATCACCGAAGCAGATATTCTTTACATGAATGGTATGGTATTATCATCAACCGCTGCAGTCATTTGTTCACAAAACTCAAATCGCCTATCGAAATCATCTTCGGTTACCTCTTGCTTTATTTTCATTTTGAATGGATGACATTTATGGAGTTTAGTAACTGTGCGTACAGAGCCTAACGAAATACCAGTCGCAGGAACAATTTTGCGTAACGAAGTATTGCCATGTACAGATATGTAACAACACCGCGAACCGAACCACGCGACGAACCGCAGCGCGCGCATTTTGACGAACAACATTGCAACGAACATCACCACAAACCGAACGAAGTCGTACAACCACATCGCGCAACAAAATGACGATCAAATTTTGATGTTTGTCGTTCAATGAAAGACGAATACTAGCGAAAATGGATATAGCAGTAGCAGCAGCTGCCTGTATTTATGTTCACTACTAATTATCTAAAAACAAGCGGCGACGTCGTCCGGGACGATGGTGGCAAACACATAAACCAATAGATCAGCACACGGTTGCAAAAATTTGATAGCGGAATTGAAATTTCAACAAGTTAGTGGACAGTACAAAAATTGTACGAGGACGTCTCCGACGGATTTTGAATATCTTCTCACGTTGATTGGACCAAAAATACCAAGACAAGATACAAAATGGAGAGCTGCCATTACAGTACAAGAAAGACTTGCAGTCACGGTGCGATTTTTAGCGACCGGTGATTCATACAGTAGTTGGCAATACATGTTGCGAATTTCAAAGCAATCGATCACCTACATCATTCCAGAACTTTGTGACGCATTGATCGAAGTCTAAAAGGAAGATTTACAACTAAGAAAAATGATTATTCTACTTCCAAGTACATTACAAAATAACACATTGGTGCTCGCCGCACCGGTATGCCTGTCCAAATAGGTGCAACTTCATCGCGAGCCATTCCTTTGATTTTGCGCTGAAAAACCGCCAGAGCCTGGATCGGGCCGATCGGCGAGCTATAACGCTAATCAGGATCGCGACGGCGTTCTTTAAGGTGGGTCCAGACATGCAACAAAACACCGTATCGTAACAGCACTGCGTAACAAGTGTAGACGTTGGAGCGTATCAACGTAACCCCGCAACATAGTAACATCGAGGCGTCCCACGAGATGTCGGTATTTTGGTGTCGCATCAAAGGAACGATACGCGCTGATGTTGCACCACTGGATTGCAGGTTTGGACTGGTCTGCGTAACAAAGGTGCGATCTACTTTTTTTCTGTGTTTTGAGTAATACTGACAGGTTTATTATGGAGTGGACTGAAGAAGTAACGATTAAATTCATTAACAGTTATAGAAGCAAAGAAATTTTGTGGGATCCACAAAATTCCCAGTATTATAATAAAATAAAGAAAAACGATTCTTGGAATGAGCTCGCTGTAGAATTTAAAACCACGATAGATGAATGCAAAAAGAAAATGAATGTGTTATTGTCGGCACTTAGGCGAGAAAAAGCAAAAATTAAAAAAAGCAAAGGCACAGGAACAGGTAAATGTGAATAATTACATTATATTTTTTATTTATGTATTTTATTTACTTATTAACATATCGAACATATTATATTCATTGCAGGTCGTTCTGATGTGTATGAAAGTAGTTGGTTTGCTTTCAAAAGCTTGCTGTTTCTTTGGGACAAAAATAAAGTTCGACAGACAAAAAGTACCGTAAGTATTGTGTTACGCATAATTATCTTGATACACAAGTGGATCTTCATTTTGAAAGTATAGTGCCAATTCGTCTCTGATTATTTTCGCGTTATCAGTTGGTTTTCGGGGAATATTTTTAAGTGGCAATAGAGAAGACATTGTTTCATTTGTTGCTCTTGGTAAAGGTGATTTGGTATCGAACATGTCATGTGGCATATACAAAGTAGAAGATGTAGAGCTTTTTCTCAAGAAGTTATGTAGATGAGCTATTGCCATTACAATTATTTCAGCTTTTGCGGGTTCAAGTAACATGGGTTTACGGAGTACTCGAAAAACGGCCGAAGCAATACCAAACACATTTTCTACAGTTCTTCGAGCACGAGATAATCTATAGTTGAATATTCTTTGTATGGATCCTTTGAGATGCGTTCCCGAAAACGGTTTCATTAGCGAATCAGTGAATGCAAATGCCTCGTCTCCGATGAAAAAATAAGGAATTTTCCGTTGCATGCCTTTTAAAGTTTCTGGTTCAGGAAAATTCAACTGATTTTTCACTAGTTTTTTGTAAAGTGAACAATCTTTAAAGATGCCACCATCTGAAATTCGCCCTTGGCCACCAGCATTGACGTACAAAAAATTATAATTAGCATCCACTAAGGCGAAAAGAACAACGCTGAACGTAGATTTGTAGTTGAAAAATTCGCTTCCAGTGTTGCATGGTGCTTGAATAACCACATGCTTTCCATCTAAAGCTCCAAGGCAATGCGGAAAATTCCAGGTTTTTTCAAATTGCTTTGCCACGTCCAGCCATGATTCTGGTGTTGTCGGTATCTGCAACTACGCGATATGCCCACAAATAACTGATATCTTTATTTTCTATCGCAATGTGAATATTCTTGTAAATGACTAGGACTACTATTTAATTACAGATTGAAGACGAAGAAACAGATGATAATGAGGTATCTGATGGTGAATCAACATTGACAGATAACGACGTTGTGAAGGAGACTCAGGAGGTTATACATAATAGACCGAAAAGAAAATTGACGGATGTAACACCAATTAGAAAACAGCAAAGAAAAAGTGAAGATTCTGATAAATTAGATAGAGCTTTTCAGATACTGTCAAAAGCATCAGCAAACGCCAATAACCCAGAAGGACACAACGAATGTCAGATATTTGGAAATCTTGTGGCTAAAAAATTGGCTAAATATTCGCCTGAATTGCAGACCAATACACAACAAGCGATTATGAATATTTTATTTAAAGCAGACAGCATCCATATTCGCCAAAATTCAAGCAATTTCCAATCCCCACCACAACGTACTGACACTATTCACTCATTTTTTTCGAATTATCAGGCTAACCAAGAATCCTGTTTTAATCAAGAGCTATCACAGTTGTCATCTCCAACATATAGTTATGGTAATTCAAATCCCTCGACCTCGAGTGACAATAATACTCCTCTCCCTCCTTCTGTGCCACACGTAGTTATTGGATATGTCCCACATTGAACTACAGAGCTTGTAGTTAGTGCAAATGTTTAATGTGAGCAACAGTTTATTTAATGTAAGCAATATTTTGTTTAAAATATAGAGTTATTGTGTCAAACCTTTATTTTTTTACCTGTATATTGTCATGTAATCCTTCTATTATTGCTTCACACACTTCAGGAACTATAGTGCTTATAGATTGCTTAGATATTTTAAAGAGGTACTGAAGACTTGTGAAGGAATCACCAGTCGCTAAAAATCGAAGCGTAACTGCCAATCTGTCTTGTACAGAAATTGCCTTTCTCCAGCTGGTACCTTTTCGTAATATTTTGGGTCCAATCAAATTAATCAAATATTCAAAGTCTGTTGCGGACATTCTGGTGAAATTTTTGTAGAGGCCGCTCATTTTCAAGTCTATGAGCAAATTACTTCCACTGTACACATTTCTTTTTACGAACAACTGCCTCTGCCAAAAACGTTTTTCTCTTCGCTTTTTTTGATTCTTCTTAACATAATAATGCATGAATATATAGGCAGCAGCGGCGACTTCCATTATAAACGCACTAGGAAAAACGGAACGACAGAATGTTCTGCTTTGAAGATACGCGATGGTATGAAAAAAAGTACACACCGTGACTTAGACGCGTAACACATAGTTGTTGCGGGACGGTGTTATTTTATTACACGGCATTTTGTTGCATGTCTGGACCCAACTTTAAACCGTCTATATTAGCGCGGCGCGGTTCTTCGCGTGGTTCGGTTCGCGGTGTTGTTACATATCTGTACATGGCTTAGAATTTATTCCAAAAGGACCCAAAACTTCAACTTGAGCGGCTTCATCCAAAACTCTCCGATGATCACGTTTCTTATTTGCAACAGATCCAGTTTGAGTAAATTTAGTAACATACCTATGCGAAATTATCTTCCCCTGATGTCTTGCGTTAAACTTGCTGAGCACATTGATACATAAATTAGAATCATTTCCATTTCTTCTGATAGTGTGTAAACGATTTTACAAGTAAAATCTGAATCAACAAATTAATTTTCATTATGGATTGTCACAAAGGTAACTGACAGCAAATTAAATTATTTCTTTCCCGTAGCAACAAATAACTAAATAGGTATAACAATAAACACAGTTCGCCCATGATATCTGTGTTGATGAAAAGAATGCGGAAAAAAATTCGGGTTGTTATTTGGTTGTCGCCACGTCTAATCTTCCGAATTGCTGTTTATGTCGGTAGTTTCCGTTTTAAATTATTAACGAATTTGGCTAACCCTAACGGACAACATTTTGAACACCTATTGAAATAAAAAGTGATATTTTCATGTATTTTTGTTTCCTATCTGAACATATTAAGATAATTAGATTTTTCTAATTCTCTAGAAAACTAATCGACTGACTTTAAAAAATCAAAAGTCAAAATAAATGACTTCGAAAGACCTTTCAAACACGTTATTACTCGATACCCCTTGTCATTCAAAATTTTTGAGGGAATTACCCTGGGGGGCCGAGGGTGAAAGGAGCTGGAGTCGTTTTTGCTTAAAAAGTTGTCCCCTTTGACAAATCTTTTGACGTGTCTAGGCGTTTTTTCTTTTAATCAGTAGTTTTCGATAAATCCGTGGTGGGAAGTTTTCAAATGAACACCCTGAATGTAGAAACGAGAGTAGAATTTTTTTTTATAAAAAAGGAGCTCCTATTAGCATCAAAAAGTTGTAGACCCAACTATTTTATTATAATAATAATAACAATAGAATCTATTTCCCAACACATTTTTTATAATTCCATTTACAGGACAAAGAATTGAAATCTCGCATAACAATAAGAAAACAATACTAATTTGTTCATATTCAAGAGAATAAACAAACATTAATACAAATCTATAATGCTATTTAACAGGTTTAATAAAAATGTCTAATGTCTATTTCTTGTTTTATTATATCCATAAATGTCACTATATATTTCCGTTCTTAGACAACTTACATTTCGTTTTGCTATCGCAATCCTATCAAAAAGGTATACATATATGTACATATAAAAACATATATCCGATGTTATAATTTGTATTAATTATCCAGAAAAATAATTGTAGATGTTTCCCCACTATTTCATTCTAGTCATTGCTATAAAACCCTATACTAAGAGCCCGTTCACATACACACTGGGCGCATGTTTGACAACTTTCCTAAAAGATTCGACATCGCAGGCATAAGAATATCCATCCTTGATGTTTGTCCTGTTCCAACTAACCCACTGGATTTTTTCCGACACATCCGGACAGATCACATGCTTGCCAATATTTTTCTCGTATGGGTTGTTATGCCCTATGAGAACGACTCCTTTCTTAGCTGTTGGATTGTAGATGAGTTTCCAGTACAAGGCTGGTACAGGTATCCCTGCAAAGAAAAGAAGGTCAGGATCATGATGTTTGGCCCAGGAAGTACCTTCGCCTCCGCTCAGAAAAATAAGTTGATTCGGTTTTTTACGTAATCTTATTCAAAAAAGGTGCGGAGGGGTTGTCCTACATGCGATTTTGATGTCATGTCATAATCCGCTCATCTTTTACTATCACAGTGGAGCAAATAATGGTGGAGAGATGAAACTTTCTCTTGCTATAATGCTGAGTAAGAACTGAGAATTTTCATCTTTACTAATGTTTGTTTTTGACTTTGTTATTGTTTGTTTTTATCAATATCAACTGATTAATGTAATAGCCTTTTAACAACATAACATAACATCGGAATTGTGTTTGTTTACTTTCAATTTTCAATAATGGATTATCATAAGTAATATCATTAGGGCATCTAATTTTTACGAACAAAAATCGAAAAAACACGTTGCTAAGTAATATTTTAACAAGAAGCATGAGTGCTTGTGGCAAATAGTCTAATCATATTAGACGATTGTACTTGGTTTGCGAAATAATTGTAAAGTCAGGTTTTATTGCTGCAAGTTGCTGCCTCCCTCCCTTACTACGTCCAAGGATATGATGTTTATTGTACTATAACACATCAGGTACCGCGTGCTGTGTGGGTTAGCCTAACTTATAAACAAATTGGCACAGCACAGAAATAACGTAGTTATCAATATGATGTTAGTTTGCTATGAGCGTCTCCAAGATCCTATTGATACTCCGCGAGTGTATTGGAGAATCCTCTAAACTTTTTTGTTTATATTGTGCAAAGTCCGTCTGGATCAGAGTTCCCCAAACTTTTTTACCTGATATCGATTTCCTGTAAATTTCTAACTGTAGTGAAGTTTAGTGTTAAAAACTTAAAGTAAAAGCACATGTTAATTTATACATTTATTAATTGAATTTAAATTAAAACTACTCAAAATAAAATTTTTTATCTGTTATGTAAAATATACGTAACATTAAATAAACAGGTGTCTGACCAATAAGTGCCCGCATTGGGAATAAGTGCCCGCATTGAAAAAAAAAGAGGGATAAAATAAAAAAGAAGTGAAAAATAATAAAAAAAAGAGTTTTTTACTTAAAATAGTACAATAAGCGAGTTCGTTTATTAATTATAACATAAACGTATGTTCTACAATAATTTCACTGTTAGTTTGATTAAATTCCGCTTCTTATACGTTTAAGTTATCTAAAAATAGGCAAAAAACTAATGATTTTTTGTGTGTACCTATCCTTGAATTTTCAGAATAATTATTAAAAAAAATATTTTCTATAAAGGGGTTCTTTAAGAAAATCAATGCGGGCACTTATTCCCAATGCGGGCATTTATTGGTCAGACACCAATAAACAAAATAAACTATAAATAAAATAGCATAAGCAATAAGTCAATATTTTTAGTGACAAGGATGAACCTGATGCTTTAATAATAGATTATCAACATTTGGCGTCAATTTTGTAAGGGTTAATCTTAAATCTCCTCGGCTAATGATGTCCAGTCTATTTCTTTTTTTCGTTAGGAGATTGGTAACAGCGCTGAACCCCCTTTCCACTAGGTATGACGATGGAAAGGAAATTAAAAATTTCCTCGCTATATTCCATAATACGGGATAAGTAACGGGTATGTCGTTTTGCAGCCAGAATTGCTGATATCCGTTTTTAAACTGAACCTTAAGTCCTTCGTTTGTACTTAGTTCAGTCAGTTCCTCTTGTATTATGACATTCGTTTGTTCTGTCACCATATGGATTAATTATCCACGGTGGTATTACCATAGTGAAAATATCCTCAAACCTAGATTCATAATCTGAATAGAGGGCATTTAAATGTTGAACGTAAGTTGAAACGTCGTCTTCCTGGCAGCTTGTCTGTGACAAATTGGGGAACTGAGAAAATTCGCCCCGTCCAATATTTTGCTTCATTAGTTTAACTCTGGCAAGAAATGCTGATAAGATGGACTTTGTTTTAATCAAATTTAAACTGTCGCCTTGTAATTGCAAATTAACCATATTAAATTTTGTAAACAAGTCTGTTAAATAGGCGATGTTTGTTTCCCTCTTCATTAAATTTTCTTTTAAAATTTTATCTTTAGTATCCAGAAACATCAAACATAAGCCTTTCGACAGCCAGCGTACTTCAGTGTGAAGGAGTAATTGATGAAAGTGTTCGTCATTTTCTTCACACAACTGCGCAAATAACAGCGTATTCAACGCGTTGCTTCGGAATTGGTTTACTGCATCAATGACTAAATGAAGTGATTCATGCAATCTAAAACTCAAATTTTTAGCAACTAAATGTTGTCGATGGATGACGCAATGTATTGCTAACACCCCTGACACATTTTGTTTTAAATAGCTTATAAATCCACGATACCGTCCAACCAAGGCAGGTGCTCCATCTGTAGCTACTGATATTATATTTGATAAAGGAATTGCTTTTTCAATGAAGTAATCCTTCAAAACATGAAATATTGATTCACCTTTAGTGTCGGTTATCAAAGTTCTTGCGAAGAGCAGTTCTTTGTAGATTTCTTGATTCATAATAAAACGAACATATGCCAATAATAATGCTGCATGATTAGGTAAAGTTGACTGGTCCAGTTGTATAGAGAAATGGGTCGTTTGCAAATAATTACATAAGAAGTTTTCAATATCAGAACTCATTTCATCAATACGTCTTTCAACAGTATTGTTGCTTAAGGGAATTCTTTTAATGATATCAGATGCAGGTTTGTGTAAAACAGTTTTTAAAATCTCTTCAACGGCTGGCAAAATTAACTTCTCTCCGATAGTATGCGGTTTTCCGGATTTTGCTATAAGTAACGAGGTATTGTAAGACGCCCGCAAACCATCATCATTTCTTTGTGACGTCGAAGCGAACATTCTGTCCAGTGTAGGTCTCTTCTGAAATTTATCTTTGAGTGTTTGAAAGTATTTCAAATCTTTCTCTGTTTTATCAGGGTGGCATCTTCTCAGATGATCTTGCAGTTTAGATGGTTTCATAGCGTCGTTGCCCAAAACTTTGTTGCATAAAAGGCACATAGGCGATTGTTTGTCCGGCAATGATATAATAATAAATAATCAACACTGTACTATCTACATTTCTTTTTAGATTAGATTAGATTAAATAAGACAGAAAATCCAGCAGCTGTATATTAAAAATATTTTTTGATTTTTCTGAAAACATTCCATAATTCGAACATCTTCTTGCAACAATTAGCTCGAATTACGGAGATTGCACTGTAATTATATTATCGATTGCTAAAACTTTCAAAAAGAAACTATTGAGGAGTACTCGTGTTATTTTGCATGATTGAATATTTAACTACTAATAACTAAAGTCATGATTGGCGTAATTTATCTATATTTGCTAACTACGAGTACAAAACTAAAATTTAATAAAAAATAATGTACTTACTTTTCTCCAGCACTCTCAAACAAAATAACACAGACTCACTATAATTTGTGTGATATACTATCTGTTTATATTTTTTTAAATATTTTCTTAGCACTTTCCTTTTCAAGATTCAGGAAACGAATAAACGTATTTGTTCCACGTTCGTATTTATAGAGTGATGAATTGAACAAGTCAGTGCAAGGTAGCGAAGCTGTGAGACTGCGACTCTCAGGTTTTTACAAGTTCAAAGTGTATTGCGACCACAAAGCGAATACCAACATCCTACAACTTACACAATTTTATAAACATATATAATAATTTTTTTACTTCATAGGTACTTTTATAAATAATGTATATGTTTTGATATTATAAGATAGTATGATGTTAGTAAATAGGTACTATCAGTGTATGTATTGAGATCCACTTTCGTGGACCCCCATATTCATTTCATGGACCCCCAAATTTTTTTTCGCTTGCAGGTTGTCATAGACCCCTAGCGGTCGATATAGACCACTTTGGGAATCAATGGTCTGGATGGACGCAGTAGAAGACCTAGACAGCCCCTAATGTTGCAAATTTAGGAAGAAGTAAACAAACTCGTGTACTTACAAACAAAATATGTAAGACGGCAGTACTTGAAATGCCGTACCAAATAAATAATAAGTTTTTATCTTCAATTTCTTTTTTACGTTTTCAGTACTGTTATACCCCAAATTTACTTTGTTATTTCCAAATTAGCGGCTTCAGAAAACGACAATCCCAACTATCAGGACTCCTTCTATATAACTTATCATTTCAAATTAAAGGGATTGTAGTTTCTGTCACAATTTAGAAGCTATTGTAACTATTGATTGGAAAATTACGAAGCAGTGTCTTATTCACGACAAGTCATCCCATCATCACTTAGTAGTGTTTCATTCACCACTTATTATATTACCCTTTGAATTTGCTATTATTACCGTGACATGATTTAACTTATATTCATTTAACTTAGGGAGCACTTACAGTTCACTCAACCGGATGCAATATAAAATATGGATTTTTTATTTATTTGAACACGAAAAGCTGTAAACGGTTTTATTCCATCTCTTGTACGAGTACATAACTGCAACTGCAAAAATGAAGCTTAACTGCCTTCAACTTGATGAGATGTCAAAATGCTATTCACAATTTGACAACAATGAAAACATGTTTCAAATTATAAACTTCAAAAAAATCCCTACTACTAACTAAATTACTAAGGTGGATATCACACGATCAGTAAGTATTGACGCATTCACTATGTGCGCGATGTTAACCCACCTAGCGGATATTGGACCGAAATATGTATAGGTGACATGTGCAATATAAAAAAGGGTATCAATGAAAATAACAGAAGCCTATTTGGCGTCAGGAACAATTTGAATGTCAAACTGACAATTCTCTTTTGATCTGGCAAATGATAACAGCAAAATATTTGCAATGCTGCCAGTCAGACCTCAGTTGCGCCCACATGACTCAGATTTCATCATAGAGACCACACCTATATTCTGCTATAAGGTCCACGATAGTACCCTTTTTGTCGACCGCGTGCACGGCAATCGATTTAGTTCCCCCCCTATATGAACTTCGCTCCTGGCGAATGAGGTGATGCAGAAATCCACTGACGCTGACGGAATTATCAGTAAATACTGATGGTAGGGACCAATGAATTCGGACAAGGTAAAAACAAGTTCCTCGATGAGGTTCAATGATCAGGCTTGAGCTGTCAATTTGACAGTTATCATTTCACATTGAATTTGTATTTGTCTGCGAAAACATATAAAAGTTTGTGGGTTCCATACAATCCTAGTGTTCCAGAAAATTGCCTGAAATGGTGAGGATCTCTGCAGTTTCAGCTTAGTAAGGGCATATCTTTTTATCGATAAGTGTTAACATATTATAGTCATAGACGTTGCGAAAAGGCATATACCTCAACGTTGAGTTGTTTCCTGGACAGCTGTGAGGTGATTTTGATTTATTTCATTCTACTTATTTCTTTGAGTGCTCAGACGCAATCTAAGGTTTGTTAACACAATTATATACCCTAATCATATCTACTTTAATATTGAATCTAAAAGTTCTTAGGAAAGACCTTTACTTTACCGCGTTATAAATAGTAATTTCACGTTCTCATTTTAGTGACATGAGATTCTATTAAGTAGGCTCAATAAGCGCCGAAAAAACAATTAATATACCATTAATTAAAGTATGTACTTCCAAATCTTTTTGCTGGATAAATTAATATAGTGTCAATGTTATAGTATCAGTGATTTTCATATGATGCTCAACTGGATAGGTATCTGCTTTTCGCCAAGAATCTGTTCGGATCACAACAAATGTCTAGCGAAACAGAGAATGTTTGATGAAGACAATTTTTTGTATTTTTCACGTTCCAAAATCACGAATTAAGCAGAATTGCTCTTATGATGTACCGTTAATAAATATTCACTTTCCTGTATTTGCCTTATTTCACTTATATCTGTTCATTAATAACTGAGCGATTCACGTCGCAACACAGATAGTATTTCTGCTCTGCTGAACGTGAGTACACCCAGTACGTTCGGCTACTTAAATGTCCTCTTCGGAGAAGCAAAATGTACGCCGATGTATCGGTGTGCCATTTTGTTAGGCAATAATACAACGTAAACCTATATGCTTTGATTCTTCTAAGTTATTCGTTGGTACGGTCCACAACAAATATTGATCTTGTGAAATTCACCTTATACATATAGCCTAAAATGTGTACCTCTTTTTTCTCCATCAACGTATAGATATAGCTTGATTTGCTCTCCAGATTCCTCATGCGGCAAACTGGCTACATCATGTGTTCCAGTCCATACCAACAAGTAAGTATTGTGCGCTACAGCATATTCTCTTGTTGATGATTCTACCCTCTCCCAGTTTTTGCCATTGAAGGATTGCCATTGAGGAGCCACGTTTAAAAATTTAAACGTTGCGTCCTGCTGAGCTGCGTAGACGAAGTCTGCTTTTGCACTCAGATGACCTCTATAAAAAAGTTAAAAACATGTTAGAATAGAATGAAGTAGATGAAACTGTTTGTTTTAATATTTTAAGGGGCTCTCGACGTACCAGAGTTCACCACGAGTGAGCTGGAAGAAGACGCAACGCACCTGAAGACATAAAAGGCACCAGGACTCGACAGAATACCAAATGAGATTGTGAAAGTGCTAGTTGAAGAAATGCCCGAAATCGCCCAACTAGCAAAGACGTGCTATAAGCTTTTGGCAAAAGAACCGTTCAGCCATAAAAGCTCTCTATTGTTGTTGCCTGAACACCAAAATGCTGGCTTAATGTTGTGTGGAATGCAAATTTGCTTTCTGCAACATATTTGCTCTAAAATGGAGTGTTTAAAATATTCTTATAGCATAGTTATACAACACCTTATAGGGCAAATTTTTAACTGTTGCATAAACGTTTATACAACTATTTTATACGGCATATTTGCAGGTTAGTCAAAATGATTGTGTTGTGGCGTCCATGGTAACGTTTATAAACAAACCCGAGCCTTGTTGTTATGCTGTGCAAATTTACAACTTTAGCCAACAAATTGCTCCCAACGGAAGCACTTATACAACTGTTGTTTAGTAACTGTTAAAGGCTGTACATATGCTAAATATCTTGGTATACAACTTCACCATAACCTAACTTTCTGCTGTCATATTTTTGTTAAAATGCCATAACCAATGTTTTAAGACAAACAACGCATGCATATTGGTTAAAAAGGTTTTATCAACTGTTCAAACAGAAGATATAGATCTGGTACAAATTCTAGGTAAATCATTCGACTCTGTCGGTATTTCATTTCTGACATTTGTCAAATTGTTGCATAACACCTGCAGGCAACACCAAAATATTCTAATAAACTAAAGACAACATGGACGATGCCATGATTATACACAACCCCCGCCATATTGGGCAAACATTTATTCATCTATCTGATATTAAATAATTATGTTTCAGTTCGAAATTACAGATATAAAGTGTTAAACATTAGTGTAATTGTGTCTAAATATAGGATTTGTGGAAGATTTAACGCAGATAAGTTCAGATTTCCATCATAAAAATCTAGACATACTTTTGATCATTATCAAAATATGAATCAAACACGAAGCCCGTAGAAATTGCGTAACTACTTTGCACGATAATCACAATAAAATTTGCTGTGCAAGTAATTCAATAGCCCTATATCACAGTGTAGAAGTTTATCATATACCTGTGTATGAAATTCACAATGGCCGATATGTAAGTAAACAAGATGACTGTATTGTGTTAGTTATATATTCTTCACTTCGTCTATACAATACATAAGAAATAGTTTGGTTGCAATAAAGTAGAATCACGTAACAGAATAGTTGTATAGTTGACAAAAACTGAATCTTGCACTGATGCAAATGACCTATAGCGGCTGCAAGACGCTTACGCTTGTTGTATAACTGTTACCTGCAGCCCTTATACAACCTTTTAAATGACTGAAGTGTCCTATTAGGTGTGCCCATTCCGCTTGTATAGCTGCTCTAAGAGGGTCTTACCAATGCTGTCTAAGGAATACTGTATAATCATTCTTGCAACTCTAATAGGAGTGATAATTGTTAGTTGGGCGTGCTGTCTGTTGTGGATGAATGGTTGAGAACGCGACTGTTCCGTGAGAGGTGGAAGAAGAACAGTGTGGTACTCATCCCACCAGATGGAGATCATCTCTTTTTGGTGTAAGGTCTGGTTCCTTGGGGCCCAGCCACTGACCCTTGGGTGTACTTGGTGTAATTTGTCAACTAATGATATGAAATTTCCCAGCTATTCAGTGGTGACCTTGGATTTGACCCTGACCATGGCTTTCAAAACCATTTGAAGGACAAGTCTATTTTTTCAAATGGAATCCCCCATTTTTGAGCTCGCGAATGAAGAGGGTGGAAAATTTAACGTTCAAGTATTGTGTTGACCATTCTCAAATTCTGAGCTTATTGGACCATGGTCAATGTCAAACCTAGGTACTGTGATATAATTTGAAAGCCAGTAGTCGTATAGAGAAAATATTGAGACATTATTTCCATGATTTTCCGCCGCATATCCAATGGTGACCTTAGATCTGACCTTGGTCATAAATTTAAAGGTCAATTGAAGGTCACCCATTTTTTAATGGGATCCCATACTTTTAACCTCGGAAATGGTAAAAAAGGAAATTTTATGTTTGAATACGTGGACTCGACCATCAAGGTCAAACGCAAGTTTCCTGATAATTCAGAAAACTGTGTAATCCCCAGATAAACTGACTTCGCTGTCTTTCCCTGAAAGACAAAATGGAATTGACCTTCACATGACCTAAAAGATCATAATTGGTAAGGTCAAATCCAAGATCACCATTGAATATTCGGAAAAAAATCATGAAAATAATGTCGCGGTAGTTTCCCTATCCAACTAATGGTTTTCAAGTTATATCACCGTACCTGGGTTTGACCTTAACCATGATCTCCTAATGGCAAAATTTAAGAATGGTCAAGTCAAGACTATATATAAACGTAAAATTTCCCACTCTTTTCATTCACCGGTTCAAAATTAGAAATATCCATTTAAAAAATGACTTGACCTTCAAATGACAATGAAGGTAATGGTCAAGGTGAAATCCAATATCACCATTGAATTAGCTGGGGAAACTCCTATTGATCGCGGAGCTTAGTTTTAGTTTACAAATTATCCTGGGATTCCGATAGTTTTCAGACACCCCACCCCTTATATAATGCATTTTTAGCCTGCTGTAACAAGACCACAGACCTCTGCTTGATAAGAAAGCTGATCTTTGCCCAATAGGTAGTGTACCCGAACAACAAACTTGTAAGTCTACCCTTTTCTGTCGAGCAATGACAGTTCCAGAGCTCTGTAGCCAAATCGTGCGTACTGGGGTGCGTTTTTAAATCACTTGTCAATTTCATACCGTACATAGTAATGTAATGTGAAACTTTGTTTTTAGAACGCCTAAATTATTACAGGGTCATGTAATGACACTTGATGACAGCCGACTAATTTCTAACCACATTTTCTACGACCATTGTAGTTGTTATAAGACACCCAGGGATACAAGGTAGCATTTATCATGGAAAATATATATTCTGCCAATGTTGAGCAGTTTTTGATAACCAGATAAAATGAACAAACAATGAACCATGAGAATGATAAGTGACAGAACTTTGATTCCCAATATTTTGAGCTCCGGAAGAAAAGCTCACTTTTGACGTTCCAGAAGGATTACTTTGTTCTATTCTCACGAACGCAGCGCTGCTTCGAAGATCTTCAATTCATGAAATAAATTTATTTAATATATATATTGTCACTGGACGCCGAGACCTTGTTCCTTCCTACCGAGGAATAGTCACCGCTGCGGAATTTTTGGAACCGCCGCGCCATTTGGCTGTGCAGCTTCAGCAGCAAATTGTTACTCATGTAACAAGCAGTGCCGAACATGGGTTATCATCACTCAGTCTACTTCCCACGCCTACTGGCGAGGAAGTATTGTAATCGCGGAAAGTTGGGAAGTACTGCTCGGATTTGGATGAAATTTTGACACAAGCTGACTTTTATGACTAGGTTTTAGAAAATCAGTCAGAGGAGAAAAATTCCAAATACGATTTAAGTTAATTTCGCTGAAACTCGCTCTGAAGTTTCAGTAACCCCGATAATTTTTTTTAAATAGGGATGTGGGGAGAGTGTATCGCAATTTTTTTGCGGCAGCATATTTCTAATTCTCCGCGCCTATTGGACATATTTCAAACATTTGTTACACTGAATATTTTGTCCTTAAGACCTAGGATAATAGAAGTATTTTGTATATAGCTGCTGCTCGCTCTTGGGCGAACACCCACGTGACGATTTTTTACATGAACAGCTGAGCAGAAGTCGAAGACCATGCCTGAGCGATGTAACAATTGCGACTACTAGGGAAATATAATTTATTGTATATGTTACGGTTAAAGTATTTACTTAGCTAGTTTATAGATTAGCTGGATAGTATATAAACTATGCAAAGGTATGGTTATATTGATCGAAAATCATAGATTCACTAAACTAGCTACTACTATTCATTCGTTGGTTTGTATACTATCCAGTTAGTCTGTCAAATATACAAGATTTATAGCCAACGTACAAACCACAAGAAAGTTATATAAATTAACCAGAATTTGTGGCTAGTTCACAAACTATCCACAGTAGTGAACTTAATATCACTAGTAATACATAATAACCAACTCGTTGGTTAGTATGTAAACTAAACAATTCTCCTTAACTAATTTAGTTTAGGATAGTGAAATAATTCTCTATCAAAAATATATTTTATTTTTAGGTACAAGGTAACTTTTCTATTACTACTCAAAAATGAGAAAAAAGAAGTAATAGAAATAATATTTGTGAGGCAAAATATTAATAATAAACCTGAAAACATTGAAGTTCTGAAACAAAGGACATTATTATTTATTGCAGCAAGTTCACTGTTGTGGCACTTGCTGTTACAAGTACATCCGATAGCAAGACATTTACACTTTTTATGTAAATCATAAGTATTCACGACATAATAATCATTCTTGTTTTTATTGTTAGGTCCAAATTCACGTATTCTCTTTATACGTTGCAGAAGTTCAGTAGGTATAATAATATAATAATATAATAATATTTATTTACTCAATGTACAAAGATAACAAACAATATGAGTAAATAAATATAAAATCAAAACAGGCCCAATAGAAGGCATCGCCTGTACATGGACCAATAATTTAAGTTGAAACTGTAGAATGCAAATGACAAAAAAGGACAAAAATTAGCTACAGTAGATTATGTATTTAGTTGATGTTCGTATTTATGAGTTTATGAATTTCAGTTCTAGATATAGAATGTAGCCACTTTTTTAAATTTCTTTTGAAACAATTTCCGAAACGTAAATCTTTTAAGTCTTTAGGTATAATTTCATAAAATTTAGGCGCTAAATAGAGATATGATCGCTGCAT